TTCTTCCTAGGAATGCCATTTTCCTCTTTAGAGTTCACTTTCAGAGGAATATCATGAAAGGGGGAAATGTAGTGACCAGTTACATTCTTGAAGAAGAGGCGATAATTCTGCAAGCAGGGCTGGCCACGCTCCTGGGTGTGGTACAGGGCCATAACACGGCGCGGCCTGATCCCAGTACTGGTCTATAGTCAACTCATTTTAACAAAGGTGCCAAGAACATACAGTGGGGAAAGGACAGTTTCTTCAATAAATGATGCTGGGAAAACTGGTAATTATATATCAAAGAATGAATCTAGACCCCATCTCTCATCATGCAAAAATCAAATAAAAATAGATTAAAGGCTCAAATCTAAGACCTGAAACTGGAAATTACTAAAATAAAACATTGGGGAAATACTCCAGGATATCGGTCTACACAAAGATTTTTTTGTATAAGACCTCAAAAGCATAGGCAACCAAAGCAAGAATAGACAAATAAGGTTACATCAGGCTAAAAACCTTCTGCAGAATGAAGAAAACAATCAACAAAGAGACAACCCACAGAATGGGAGAAAATGCTTATAAGCTATCCATCTGACAAGGGATAAATAAGGAGAATATAACCAGAATAAAATAAGGAGCTCAAACAACTCAACAGCAAAAATAAATAAATAAATAAATAAAATAATATGGTTTAAAAATGCATAAAAGATCTGAATAAACATTTCTCAAAAGAGACACACAAATGGCCAACAGGAAAATGCTCAACATCACTAATCATCAGAAAAATGCAAATCAAAACTATAATGAGATATCATAAAAGACAGGAAAGATTGAATGCTGGCAAGGATATGCAAAAAGCGGAACCCTTGTACACTGATGGTGGGGAAGTAAATGAGTACAGCCAGTATAGAAAACAGCACGGAGGTTCCTCAAAAAACTAAAAATAGGGCTGGGAGCAGTGGCTCAGGCCTGTAATTCAAACACTTTGGGAGGCCGAGGCGGGCGGATCATGAGGTCAAGAGATCAAGACCATCCTGGCTAACACGGTGAAACCCCGTCTCTACTGAAAAAAAAAAAAAATACAAAAAATTAGCCGGGTGTGGTGGCGGGCGACCGTAGTCCCACCTACTCGGGAGGCTGAGGCAGGAGAATGGCGTGGAACCCAAGAGGCGGAGCTTACAGTGAGCCGAGATTGCGCCACTGCACTCCAGCCTGGGAGACAGAGCAAGACTCCGTCTCAAAAAAAAAAAAAAACTAAAAACTAAAAGTAGGACTGCCATATAATCCAGCAATTTCACTGCTGGCTATAGATCCAAAAGAAAGAAAATTAATATATCAAAGAGATATCTGCACTGTCATATTTATTGCAGCACTATTCAGAATATTTACAATAGCCAAACTACAGAATCAACCTAAGTGGCCATCAATAGATGAATGGATGAAGAAAATCTGGCATATATTCACCATGGAGTACTATTCAGCCACAAAAAAAAGAATGAGATCGTGTCATTTGCAGCAACATAAATGGAACCAGAGGTCATTATGTTAAGTGAAATAAGCCAGGCATAAAAAGACAAATATCACATGTTCTCACTCATCTGTGAGAGCTAGAAAAGTGGGCACACTGGTGGTGACCAGAGGCCAGGAGGGGTAGCACGGAGGAAGAGATGAAGAGAGGTTGATTAATGGGTACAAACACACAGTCAGGTAGAGAAATAAGAGCTGGTATTTGAAAGATCAGCAGGGTGACTGCAGTTTACTATAATCTGTTGTACACTTCAGTATATCCAGAAGAGAATAATTAAAATGTTCCTAGCATAGAAATAAATATTTAAGGCACTGGATATCCCAATCAACTTGATTTGATCTTTACACATTATATGAATGTATCAAATTATCACATGTACTTTTAAAATATGTGTCAATACAAGTATTATGTAGCAATTTTTAAAAATGTAATAAGATGGGAGATGTTTGACCATTCACTCTGCCAGGGGAAAACATCTCCAGGAGTAAATGGGTGAATGACAGAACTTCCCAACAGGATAGTTTATTCACCCAGGTAAATAAGCCACGCCTCCCCTAAAGACATTCCCACTCGTGGGATGAAATGCATGTGTCAGCATCGCTGCCCTCCTGGCTAGTCACAGCAAGGAGGGGCTCTAGCTGCATGGAAACCCAAGACCTCAGAGCTTGGGTGCTGGAGATAAGTGGCCAGGAGCAAACAGGAACATCTCCCTATTATTCACTCAGATTCCCTCTAAACATGAGACCAGTGTTTCCTGAAACTGGGTGACATGAAGATGGCAGGGTTTTATGAAAAATTCATCCATCCATCCATCCATCCATCCATCAATCCATCCATCCATGTGCAATAGATACTTCCTCAGTCCTAATTATGCACTAGGGCAGTATGCCAGGCCCTGGAGATACTGAGGGGAACCAGGTGGTCAAAAACGTACACCCTCAAGGAAATTGCACTCTAGAGGAAAAAAGAGATTTTTTTTAAAAATAAATAGAACACATACCAGCATAGATGGTGATGAATACTGCAGAGGAAAACACATCAGGGAAGGAGGATACAGAAGGGTACAATGGCTGGGGCTGGGAGCAAGCGATTATTTTCAACAGAGTGGCGAGGGAAAGTTTCACTGAGAAGGTGACCTGTGAACTAGGCCCTAAAGGACGGGAAGGAGCAGGAGCAAGTATCATGGACACAGAGGGGAAGAGCTCTGCAGAGAGAGGGGACAGCAAGTGCAGAAACGCCAACGTGGGAGAGGTCCCGTTGCTCTTCTTGCACGAGGGACAGTAAAGAGCCCAATTTGGGCAAACGGAGGTGGAGAAGTATGGAGAGAACTGAAATGGATGTGACAAAGGGCCAGCACATTGGCCTTGTCACTCATGTTGACACACTGGCCTTTTTCCTTTCTGGAGATGGGAAGATCTGGAGGCTTCCCAGGAGAGGACAGAACCTGGTAATAACATCCATCCGCAAACCCTCTTCTGAGGAGCCCGACTCACGGGGTGGCTCTTGTTACACGTATGTTGGACATGCTCCTCTCCATAACTCATAATTAGGTGCGTATGGGAAACATTCCATTAGAAAATAGGGTCTGGCAAAATATGGGTCTGGGTCTACCTGATCCTCACAAATCACAAGGCACCCTAGGAGTCTGACCTCCAGAATGCGGCAGAAAGCAAGAATCCACAGACAATGCCAGAGTCTGATTTTCCAGCTACGAGAAAAATTGAAGTTGACAGCTGTTCTCCAGAGACCGATCTAAAAGAGGCAAAGTTCAGTAGCTGCTCAAAGTGTAACTTCCCTTTCAAGCAAGCCTCCAGAAACACAGAAGCTCAGCTAAAGCTTAACACTCATCACCAAAATTGAAACAGTAAATCCAAGTTACGGTGTAAAGACAGCCAAAAACAATTGCCTTATTCTCTTGCATTCCATGGAAAAACACATTTCTTACATCTTCCCAAAATACAGTAAGCATTCAGTATTTACCGAAAGAATAAAGGAGTCTTTAAGCCTCCCCACCAGAGGCTGACTTTGTGAACAGGGCCAGCATTCCATGACCACGTTGTGGAAGCCTTCCATCCTAGCAGGCTCCCGATACGGTATCATTTACCTTCCTCCTCCCAAATAGTCACTCAGCAAGGAGTTCTAGGTGACTGGAAGTTGAGGACAAGATGATAACACTAAACATTAAGCAGTTCAATTCACTGATTCCTTAGCAGTGCATTCAACCGTCAAGAGAAAGAACAAGAGCAACACCACCAAATGCAAAGGCCCTCCTCAGTGGCCCTCTGACGCTCTTCTTGATGGACATCACCGCACACCTGGGAGCCACCCCAGAGGACATTCCAATGGATGGCAAAGCCCACGGCCTTCCACATCTGGCATCAATTCCTTAGGCTTTGCCAACCATCCCTCCCAAACTGTGTTCTGGAAATAACCTCGAATACAAGAATTCCCACTGATAAACAGAGCCTGTCAATGGTAACATAGGAGCACCTTACAAGAAATTTTCACTTCATTTTTTTTGTTTTTTGTTTTTTTTGAGACGGAGTCTCGCTCTGTCGTCCTGGCTGGAGTGAGTGGCGCGATCTCGGCTCACTGCAAGCTCCGCCTCCCGGGTTCTCGCCATTCTCCTGCCTCAGCCTCCCAAGTAGCTGGGACTACAGGCGCCCGCCACCTCGCCCGGCTAGTTTTTTGTATTTTTAGTAGAGAAGGGGTTTCACCGTGTTAGCCAGGATGGTCTCGATCTCCTGACCTCGTGATCCGCCCGTCTCAGCCTCCCAAAGTGCTGGGATTACAGGCGTGAGCCACCACGCCCAGCGACTTCATTTTATTAATGCTAAACTAGTGAAATCTCACCAGTTACAAAAAAAAAAGGTCAATAAGTTCATTTTAAAACACTGCCATTTCTATTTTCAACATGTTCCTAATTCTTAGTCTACAGCAGGAAAAATGGGTGTCAGACACGGCTTTATCTTATAGCCTGTTTCCAGAATGCAGTAATTGGACCAGGAGAGGTATTAGTGCTATAACTCTATATAATCCTTTATTGTGGCTCACATAGGCTCTTTCAGACTATGTGTGACAAAACACATCCAACAAGTGAAATGGAGGTTGACCGCTGACCAATCAACTTACAATACACCTTTGAAGGTAAGTTCATAAATGAGAGTCTACCTACAATTCCTATTAAATAGTGTGACTGCCCTGCTCCTATCAGATTTCCAAATCTGTTCTATTACTCAATACATTATTCAATAAATAACTATGGACATGAAACACTTTATCACGACACTTGCATGGAAACATGAGCTGAGAAGAAGATAACATTTTGACCACTGAGCATGCTGCCAGGCAGATCTTCTAGTGAGAACAACTCTTAGATAACCAATTCCAAATGCAAGACGTCAGATATTTATGGCTAATATCATGAAATGTGACATTATTGAAAAGCAAGTTTTACCCAAGTGATGTTTTTTAACTTTAAAAATATAACTATAAAAAAAAACACTTCATGAATTTGTGTGTCATCCTTGCACAGGGATCATCCCAGTCTTCTCTGTATCATTCCAGTTGTAGTCTATGTGCTGCCAAAGTCAGCATGCCCAGGTGCTTTATTAAAAAAAAAAAAATTGTGGCCAGGCACAGTGGCTCATGCCTGTAATCCCAGCACTCTGGGAGAGCGAGGCGGGGGGATTGCTTGAGGTCAGGAGTTCGAGGCCAGCCTGACCAACATGGTGAAACCCTGTCTCTATTAAAAATACATAAATTAGCTGAGCGTGGTGGCAGGCACCTGTAATCCCAGCTACCTGGAAGGCTGAGGCAGGAGAATCGCTTGAACCCAGAAGGTGGAGGTTGCAGTGAGCCGAGACTGCTCCACTGCTCTCCAGCCTGGGTAAGACAGTGAGACTCTGTCTCAAAAAAACAAAACAAACCAAAAAAACAGAAAGAAAAAAATGTGAACTTTATGGTATAAAAACAAAAAAAAAAATGAGTTGTGAGATTTATTTAATTTTGCACTGCAAGGGAAGGATCATTTTAAATGAGATTCTTCTCAATTTTCAATTAAAAGAAACAACAATTATTTGTTATAAAAAATACCTGGCCTCAACAAGTACAGGAATCATCACAATTCAGGCTCCATGCAGCCACTGCCCCAAAAGAAACACAACAGGTCAGTGTGTCAAACTCTAACACTAAAACATAGTGCATTTAATTATACCACATTTGGCCTCTCATTCAGAGTTCAGCATATTCTTTCCAAACAAAGGGAAATAATCCCTACTACAAGGAAAGGTTTAAGGCTGTCCTCAGTGTTGGCATGCCACAAACCAAGTAAGGTGGAGCAGCCACTCTGAGATCGAGTTATCCAAATGCAAGGGCCTAAACCCATCCTGTTCAGGTCCCAAACATCTCTGTCCTCAGTCAAGGGGGCACTGGTTCTCAGGGAGGACACACCTTGTCAGAAAGGACGATTCCCAAGGAGACAGGGTTCAGGAACTAAAACATCAAACATGATCTGGATGGAAAGCTAAACTGAAGTGGTGAAGCTGGGAGAACATCCGGAGCTGAGACGGCTGGCACACAGAGATCTCCAGTATGGAAAGCACAACTGTTTCACTTAGGTCTGGGGAGAAAGCCATATCTATCTGGCCTTCGTGTTGTAGAGTTAAAAATCTGGGGCGAGATATATTATTCTATCTTTCTGGATTGCTCACATCATTGTCAAACGTTATTCTAACTGACATTTTTATGACTATCATGCATCTATTGCAAAGTGCACAAAACCAAAGTGTACAGCTCACATTTCCATAAAGTGGACCCATCCATGAAGGTGTCTAACTGAAATCTCACATAGAGACATGAGTAAGTCAGTCTGTATGTGCAGGATTCTAACAGCAGTAAAGACCCGATCTAAAGGCTGCCTAGCTTTTAGATCACACTGACAATTATAAAATGAAAACACATTTACCACTTCTGCCTACAGGGACACCCCTACCACACTAGAAAGGACTGTAAAAACATGCAGTCAGTTTAAAACACACACACACACACAACTAGGAATGGAATCATTAGCTAAGATGTGGGGTTGTCTTTTTTCTAAAGCAGATTTCTTTCTGCTTTTGCCAGACAAGTTGAACATGCCTCCAAGACGCTTTCCGAGTATGAGCTGCAGTGAGAGAGAAGCCCGCCCACAAGAGGGGCTGCCGCCTAAGGAAGGGCCCTGGCCTGCCAGGCAGGAAGAACGGGCTCTACCTTCACAAATGGGTTCTCAGAAGATACGTCAATCCATTTTTAAAATAATAATTCAGTTTCATAAGAGTGTCATTATGTCAGAGAAACAGAGCCACTTGGAGACATGTAGATTTATGATAAGGGATTGGCTCACACAACTACGGAGTCTGGCACACCCCAACACCAGCAGTGGGAATGGGCAAGAGGGCCAGTGGTATGGTTCCAGTCCGAAAGCCGGCGGGTTGGAAACTCAGGAAGAACCATTGTTTCAGTAGCTCTGAAGGCGGGAAAAGCTAATGTGCCAGTTTGAAGGGTGTCGGGCAGGAGGAGCTCCCTCTTACTCGGCAGAGGGTTGCTCTGGTCAGGACTTCCACTGTTTGATGGGGCCGCCCGCACTAGGGAGGCCACCTGCTTTCCTCACTCTACTGATGCAGATGCTAACCTCATCCAGAAATGCCCTCGCAGACACTCAGAATAATGTTCAACTGGATGCCTGGGCACCCCATAGCCCTGTCGAGTTGACACAGAAACTTAACTATCACGATCACATATTAGGTAGGGAAGAGGCAGGCACAAGCCCAGTGCGTTGGAGACAGGGGAGCCTGTGGACAGGAGGGGAACAGCTTCAGCCTGCAGAGCTCAGGAGACTCATGAGACACCAATGATGGCAAAGGGTCTGCGGCAAGCATAGAAAGCAAAGGGAGGTATTTGAAGTCCATACACAGAGGAGCTCACACAGGAAATCAGGGCTAGGGGTCTGGAGGACCACACAAGATAAACTATAAAGAGTTCAAAGCAAAAGCCTTCATAAAAGAAACATGGTTCCTCTCTCACAAGCCCCCTTCTTTTGGTTACACCGAAATCTTACACAGCCAGGCTGCTACACCCACAGCAAGGAGTATTCCCAGGGCACCCATACAAACCTCATACACTCATATCTAAAAGTCCTTCACTGAGAAGTGAGGCTTGCTATCTGGCCTGCACTCACAGAGCACCCCATCATCCTGCTACACTTCCTCTTTGAAAATTATCAAATGTGTGTAGAAAGCCTCCACCACGAAAAAGAGATTTTTAAATGAATACAGAAGAAAGGGGAGACCTGAGGAAACCGTACAGCAAACTTTAAAAGAATATTTTAGAGTTTGGAGTAATGCTAATGCTAATATCCTCAGAGTCATAAGATGATAACACATTCACATAAAACAAGAATAAGATGGTATTTCTAAAAAGGAAACAGAATAAAATAGCCATTGGCAATTGGAAGTATGCTAGCATAACTAAAATATTGCCAAAAAAAAAGGAAGTGAAAAATAAAGCTAAGCAAATTTCCCAGAAAGTAAAACCAAAAAAAAACAAGATGCAAAATAAAAGAGACTTAATAGTACAAATACAAGGCCAATATCCAACTATTAAGAGTTCCACAGAAACCAGAGAAAGATAATATTAACAAGTTATACAGAAAAGGTTCCTAGAACTCTAAGAAAAAAGGTTTCTGATTGAAAGGGTACGCCAAGTATCCAAAACAATAAGAGACACACACCAAAATTTTTCATTATAGAATACTAAATATTTTTCTTTATAGAATACTATTTCTAAAACATAAAGACATTAAAAAGAGCCTATTTATAAAGAGAAAACAATCAAGATGAAATTGAGTCTCTTAATAGCAACACAGACCACTAAAGTGACACTTTAGATTTCTATACCCAGCCAAGTTATCAAGACACTCAAATCTACTTTTCACATAAGCTTTTTTAGGAAGCCTCTTACTGCAAGATGTTCTTCAACAATACAAAACAGTAATCAAGAAACAACCCCCCACCCCACTCCCCAACAGTGTCTAAATATCAAGAAAGCAGTGAGAAAGTTCTAAGATGACCACTTTACAGCAACACATGGACAGGGCAGCCTCATCTGGCAAGAAGATGGTGGGCTGCAGAGGAGAAGGGGTAAAACCAAGAGATTATTCTGGGATATTTATTTTAAAATATATAGAGATGTTTTATAATATAAATGTGTATTGATCTGATGGAAAAGATAAAAATTAATATGCAAAAAAATTGTTTAAGGAGAAGAATAAGGCAGGAAAAGCAAGTTACACTAGAAAAGAGGCAAACAGGATATACTGCCTCACTACTTGGATCTGAAGTAAACAACTGAAATCTGCATCTATAAGAGAGTTCAGAGAGAGCATTTCTAAACTGTATTTTACAATGTAGAGAAAACCACATTTCTAAACTTAATTTTGAAATAAGGTAGAAACCTTCAAAAGAATTAAAAACACAAAGAGTTCAAAGTGGTTGCCTTTGGTGGAACAGGACTGGGATGGCACAGAGGGGCAGGAGATTATTGATTTTCATGATAAGCACTTCTAAACTATTTGAACTTTTAACTACTACATGTGTTATTTTAATAATACTTTAATACAAAAAAGTAGTATCCAGATATAACTGTCAAGGGACAGCCCATTCTTTTAGCTAAGTTTAGGACTGGTCATACAAAAGGAGATTTTTTTAGAACATGAAATCAGACTAAAGACCTAATTTGTTTCTATACTGCTTCCACCACAAAAGAACTAGTAACTACTCATATCTGCTATCACTCCCCACGATCACTTCCTTTTGCCAGGGGCAACTGACACCTAGATCATGGATAAAAGAAGGGGAAACTGTCATCTGCCCCATAAGAGTCTAACTAGAAACAAACATGAGTACAGCACTCAGAGTGCAACGTTTGTATGTATTCCTTTGAGATGAGCAGGCTGGCTTTCAGCACAGGAGTCTTTACCCTAAAATTCACCCCACAGGGAAATCGAAGAGTCCAGTTCTTCCCCTTTAAACGGAAATCACTTTATTCTACAAAGTATTTGCTCTTACTAAGTTGTCTTGCTTCCTTTCATCCTCCACCAAATTCCTAGAACATCTTTCTTTCTTCTTTTCATCAAACCACATCCTTCTCTTCTGAGCCAACAGTCCAAGGGGTCATCTTCTCTAACAAGCTTTTCTCTATTCATGTCTACCCAAAGTGTACAATCTGTAATCCATCCTTTATTTCAACATTCTGTGTGTGTGTGTGTGTGTGTGTGTGTGTGTAAGAGAGAGAGTGTTAGAGACAGACCACGGGGACAGACAAAGGCAGAGCATCAGAGAGAGAAAGCAATTTCTTGTCTTGTACTGCGAGCTCTAGGCTGGTCACATAAAATATTTATCATCTTAACCACCTCTCCACGCCTTGCAGGTGGAACGCTCACTGTACAACTCAGACCAACAGCACAGTGCCCTCTACTGGCCAGCCAGCATAGCAGTGTTTTCTGCAAAGTAAACAACACTGGGGGCCTGCGCCAGATGAAGTTCCAGTTCTTCATCAAT